GGAAGCTTCAATACAAACATTTCAGTGTCTTTGAGTGCCAATTTGAGGACAATGCAGAGGATTTGGAAAGAGTTGGATGAGTTTAATGGTGATTACGAAAGTATTTGGAGTGATCACTAATGATGGCGACGTTTTGCCTCCATTCATCTTTCCACATAGCCTCAGATTCAATACAGAGAACTACAACAAGGGCCTTGAAAAGATAGTGCAGCCCTGGGTCAAGAGGATGGCTGATGGAAAATCCTGGCAACAGGGCTCTGCATCATGTTACACAAGCTGGAGGACCCAGATATGTCTATCAGGCAATTTCTGCGACCACATCACCCCTTATTTCTGACAAACTAACTCCCCAGACTGCCGTCCCCTTGATTATTATGTGTGGGGCACAGTTGAGCGAGAGACTAACAAAACTCCTTCTAACACCAAAGATGAAATGAAGGCAAGGATTATGGCAGTATTCACCAATTAAAACAGGGAGATCAACCAGAGGAGTTATAAGAGATTCCTAAGTGGACTGGAGGTCGTGGTTGAAGCCAATGGCGATTTTATTGAATGAATTCAGTCTTTAGCATTTCAAGATATTTTTGTGTAATTTTGGTAAATATATCTGGTAAAATGAGGCGTCAGTGTTATTTTCATCTTTGCGTAACTTTTACATATTTAAAGCAAATTATACTTTCAGTATTGCCTTCTTAACGATCTGCAAGTGCAGAGGTAACTAGGGAAATCTGCTTCAATTCAAATGAAAATAGCAATATAGTTGGGAATAAAATCCATAATTTCTAAAATCCGAGAATAATAAGTTAATGAAATCATATATATATATATATATATATATGAGCGTGTGTGTGTGTGTGTGGCATGAAATAATAGTTCAATAAATAGAGTAATGTCTCAGTAGTTATCCCGAAAATTTGCACGTCAGATGATATGATATGATATGATATATATATATATATATATATATATATATATATATATATATATATATATATATTTTTTACAATTCCTTTTTATTGTACATTTTCCTGTGTCAATTTTAAATCTCCTGTTGAAGCCTGAAGGCAGGAGCGAAACCGGTTTCTTCACCCGTTTTTTTAATATGTTTCATAATGTTAAGTTTTATACTTTTATTTCGATCATTAAATTTTGTACCTACAAAAATATCTTTATATATATATATATATATATATATATATATATATATATATATATATATATATATATATATATATATATATATACTGAGGTCAATTCAGCCGGGTTTCGATCATAGCTAGAGGCAACAGCAACACCAACCACCACGATGAGCTGTGATACAGTCTGTCTGTGGATGACAATATATATATATATATATATATATATATATATATATATACAGAGAGAGAGAGAGGGAGGGAGAGCGAAAGAGAGAGAGAGTAATCTTGTTTAAGAAAGATTCAAAAGTAGTCTGGACGCCGCGGTTGAAGCCAATGGCGATTTTATTGAATAAATTTATTCTTCAGTATTTCAATGTAATCTTGGTAAATATATTTGTTAAAATGAAAAGTCAGTGTTATTTTCCTTTCTGCATAGTTTAAACAACAACATATCTATCGCACCTTGTACTGTTAATTACTCTCGACTTGGTCGTGACACTAATTAATCAAGGTGGCCCTAAACTTTTACATGTCGTTGTATTCTTGTTTTGGTGTTTGGAAAGAGTAAATCAACCTAACACCAATAAAAAAAAAATACCATAAATTATTTTTTAACTTAATATAAAAATATCGAAAACAAGAAAATTGACAGACATTTTCTGACGACTGAACCGAACAATTACCCAAAGGCTCTTCTTCGAAATTCTGGAATAGAGGTGTTAGATATAAGATCAATCAGCTAAGTGACAAATTTTATATTTGTATTTATTCCTATATATATATCATTGTATTATTATATATATATATATATATATATATATATATATATATATATATATATATATATAAATATATATATATAAAGATATTTTGTAGGTACAAAATTTAATGATCGAAATAAAAGTATAAACTTATTATTATGAGACATATTAAAAAAAAATGGGTAAAGCAACCGGTTTCGATCCCGCTCTTCAGGCTTCGACGGGAGATTTAAAACCGGTTGCTTCACCCGTTTTTTTTTTTTAATATGTCTCATTGAGCACCATGGGGAAAGGGAATTGTTAACAGCTTCTGCTTCACGCATCACTCTTCGTCAGAAATGAGCTCTCTGGCTGCTGATTTAGCGTTTATGTACATCACGTATATAATACGTTAAAACATTCCGTCTCTCTACGATAGCTTAGTCGTAGAGTCTTTGAATTATTCCAAATCCTTATCGTTCCAGTTTCGATCTCAGCTTGAAGCAATCGGATGTATATCACCTATGATACAGCGAAACAGTCTGCATGAGGAATATATATATATATATATATATATTTAGTTGAATGGATATGAGTTTGTAACCGTCGGTTTCACGCTTATGCTATCTTCAAACAAACTGATTTAAGTTTGTTTAAATTTGAAACTACTTATGTTAGTTTTTGTTTGATTATATTTTGTGGTGGGGATGAGGGGTGGGGGTCCTCCTCTGTGTCTGTTTTAGGTTGACGCTCGTCGGCACAGATACATACATACATGTAGACATTTCTGGTTCATACAAACATATACATATACATATATAAACAATGCGGGGCCAGGCGCTGACATGTATCCATATGTTAGATCTATCATTGATATTAAGCGCTTTCCAATAACTACCGCATATATATATATATATATATATATATATATATATATATATATATATATATATATATATATAAGCAAATATATGGATATAGATCCGACAGCATGAAGAAAAATATACTGAAAAAACAAACAAAAATCCTAATATGCGATTATGCTGTTTTAATGTTTAATGTCAACGTCGGATGTTTCGGTCTAATAGACCATCTTCAGGACATATTCATAAAACATAATTAACATAGACCATATAGAATTCAACATGAAAAAGACGATGGACATAAAAGCAATACTAATCCAAACAGATAACTAAAATCTTTTATAAGATCAGCGTTCCGTTTAAATATGTCCACGTCGTCGTCACGTGGGCGATGTTGTGAAAATGTATTCCTAATATTTGAGTATTTTGAATGAAAAACGAAAAGAATTTTATTTTGATCTAAAACTTATAGGTACGTTTGTCGAGCATTAATCTTGCTAGAAAAGGGGAAATATTAAAGAAGCCAGGTCTAGTGTTCACCGTACGTGAGATAGATATTATGCCTGCTACATAAATCCGCCTAAGTCTGTCAGACCGAAACGTCCGACGTTGACATTAAACATTAAAACAGCATAATCGCATATTAGGATTTTTGTTTGTTTTTTTTCAGTATATTTTTTTTTTCATATATATATATATATATATATATATATATACGTAAGGGCTACTGGAAGTGAAAGAGAATAAAAAGACTTTAGAATGATACAGAAAGCCAATCCTAAACAAGTAACAAGCGTTGAATCTCTAATCATGTTCAGAAAGCGTGAAGTATTGCGAACTGGACGATAGGCAAACCTAACCACTTCTGTTGAGGAGAAAAAAAAAAGAAAGAAAGAATTAGTGAATGAAATTTCAGATTTCACGCGTTAGAATTATAATGTTGACATAGACCTTAGAAGGAACCGGAAACTCTATCCTAAACTTAAACAGGAAACACTCCTCCTGTTCAAAAAGCCAACGAGGACTGGTTACTGGACGATAGGCAAATATATCTACTCTGATTGAGCGGAAAAAGTAAATAAATAGTAAATAAAATTTCAGAGTTTAGGCGGAAACGGTCAAGTATAGTACTGGTGTAGATTTTAAAAAAATCCGGAAACCCAATCCTAAAGAGAAAGCACGGGGTACACTTATACTCCTTTTCAAAAGATATTGGAGATGTGTGAACCGGACAGTAGGCGAACCTATCTACTATATATATATATATATATATATATATGGATACAGACAGCTACCGTATATATATACGCACGCGTATATATATATATATATATATATATATATATTTTCTATATACAATAGAATTTCTTAACTGTATTTTTTCAAATTATTTTCATTGCTCCGTTTTTACAATATTGAATCATATGAAAATATCAGCTTCACTTTTTAATGTTAAATTTATATATATATATATTAATGTTAAATTTAGATATATATTTATAAAAAAATGTTAAATTTATCTATATATATTTATATAATAATGTTAAATTTATATATATTTATATAAAAATGTTAAATTTATATATATAGTGATTTTCTAAACCCGGCTTAGATGTGGCACATGGCCGAAAGTATGGGGTACCCAGTGAGGATCGAACTCACTACTCAGTCGTAATTGATCTAGCAAGACTGTATTTTTAAAAATTCTTTTGAGTACAAAAAATACGTATTTTTTTTCAAATTCTTTTGATCGCTCCGTTTTTACACATATGAAAATTTCTGCTTCACTTTTTAATGTAAAATTTATATATCTATATATTAATGTTAAATTCACACACACACACACACACACACACACACACACACACACACACACACATACACACATATATATATATATATATATATATATATATATGTATTATGACCATTCTCATATAAAATCCTTTCTAGTTCTTTAAGATTAAATTCACCAAGGAAGGTGCTGTTTTTTGTTTTTTTAACTAACCACATACTTTCGAGCTACTACGAGATGATTCTCAGGGGTGAATTGCAAAGACAAATTATTGTAATTGTAATCGTTGTGATTGTGGTTTTTTTAAAAAAAGGCGGGAACTAAAACAATCAAAATAAGATACATGCGTGAAAATGAATAAGAAACACCCAGTGAAATCATTATAAATTTAACCTGTTGCAAATGAATGTCAAATTTATTAATATGTTTCTTCCTATTCTTTTTTTTTCAGAATTGGATTATAACCATATCTTGTTGAAAGAGCAGTTCTCGTCCGATTACCGAAGTTAAGCAATGTCGGGCATGACCACTACCTAGATGGGTGACTGCTTGGGAATACCAGTTTATGTAAACCGTGATACGGGAGTGATTTAATATGGGCACGGAATGAGCAGTCAGAAAATCAAGTTCGAATTCCAGTCGGGTTCGTTACATCACTTACGCGCAAATGCACTTGGGGAACTCAATTTATGATTAAAATAGTAAAACTTGTATCTGAAAATCCTTATCATCTCCAAGAAATTGTTAAATCACTATTCACTCGTAACAAAATATCCTTACAATCCTAAAATAGGTTTCGGCTTTAAATAACATGCAAAATGTTGAAATTCTTCTTAAAATCATAAAATATGTTTCGGTTTTAAATAACCTATAAAAAGTCGATAAGCCGTAAAAAAGAAATTATTTTTACAATCAAAAATATGTTTCGGCTTTGAATAAACTACAGAAGGTCGATAATCCGTAAAAAAGAAGAAATTATTCTTACAATCCTAGAATATATTTCGGCTTTAAGTAACCTAAAAAAGGGTGATAAGCCTTAAAAAGAAGAAATTATTTTTACAATCCGAAATATGTTTCGGCTTTAAATAACCTACATAAGGTTGATAAGCCGTAAAAAAGAAGAAATTATTTTTACAAACCAAAATATCTTTTGGCTTTAATAACATACCAAAGGTTGATAATCTGTAAAAAACAAATCAACCAAATATTTACAACGAAAAAAACAATAAAACATTGTACATGATAGGAATAAATGTTATGGGACCTACCTTTATGGACTAAATGGACTCGTCCTATTACTATAGTATGCCTCTCAAGAGAGCTTTCTACGGTTGACTAGGGTTGACTACGTGTACGACTTCTGTCGAATTCTTTGCTTTGGCAGAGAGGAACCCGGACGAAGCTTTGCCGAAGAGCAAAGTTTCGTCCGGGCAGGTAGACAGGCCCTGAACCCGTCTAGGCGGGTTCAAAGGGGATATTTTTTTGGCCGAGCCTACAGGCTCGAGGAAACCCACATTTAAACTCGGCCTTGTGTCATATTCAATCCTCGTGGGGGATTGTTAAATATTGTTGAGGATTGACAACGATTTCTGTCGAACTCTCTGTTTTGGCAGAGAGGGGCCCGGACGAGGCTTTGCCGAAGGGCAGGATTCCGTCCGGGGAGGTAGACAGGCCCTGAACCCGTCTAGCTGAGTTCAAAGGGTATATTTTTTGGCTGAGCCTACGGGATTAGAGAAACCCTCATTAAACTCGGCCTTGTGCCACATTCAATCCTCGTCGGGGGATCGTTAAATATTGTTGATGAGTTGACTACTGTACATTGCTGTCAGTCGGACGTGCAAAACTTTTGTATTCGTTCTTTTTGTTTATATGTTTTCACTAAATTGTGGAGTTCGAGTTTTCTTTCGGACTTATTCTGGGTCCACAACAATAAATATACTCATCTGAAGTCAAACCGTATATTTCTGCATGAACCCTTCTATTTATGTTGTGAAGGATTATAGTTCCCCGCAGATCTCTTTCTTTTATAGCAATCAAAATAATATTTTCTTCTTCTATGAGCCGTTTTCCGTCAGGACGTTAACGATCATGGTTCTCCCCGATTTCCTGTCCTAAGTACCTCTTTATGAATTTTATACGTTTGCTATCTCTCCTAAAAAACTGATCCGCTATACATTCCCTTAAGTTCGCCAGATAGGTTATGCTTTGCATTCCTCTGTCTCTTGCTTACCTTCAATCTCACCTGTGAATATCAAATTTTCCAAGCCCTCTTTCCTCAATATGTGCCGCAGAAATTTCAACTATCTCTTCCTAATGACAATTTCTTTTTACGGCTTATCAACTTTTTGTAAGTTTGTTTGCATTATCTCTAGAACTTCGTTGTTGCCCACATGTTCGAGCTACGGTATCCACAGCATCCTACTGTAGAGCCACATTTCTGTTGCTTCATGTCTCTTTTTCATCTGAGGAGATTTTTCGGCATTCGCCGCCATATTGAAGGACTGCTATTACATAACAGTTTAGCATGATTTTCTTTGTGTCGAAAAAATGTCTATAAATTTAACATGTTAAATATAAAATAAATTTTTGAATTGAATTTCTAAATATCATGTCTTATTTAGTCATTTCGTTGGTTTTTAATTCAGCTCGTAACTAGGAATATTCTCTCTCAAATAACTGTGTCCAATGATGAATGCATATACTGACTGCTATACGATTCCTTCATATTGATAGTGAACCTGCCTGTTTACTGTGACAACGATATAATTAAATTCGCTCTACATAACGTCTTATGACAGCAAAAAAAGTGTGATGTCTGACTTAGCAATGTCTACTTCACAATCTGTTTGACAATGAAAAATTTGTTATTTCCATTTCTCTCGAGTGTCAAGTTTGATTTACAACAACACCATTCATGTTCGGGCCTATAGCATATATATATATATATATATATATATATATATATATATATATATATATATATATATATAACAATTGGTAGTTTGAAGATAAAAAGTAGAATATTTTTGGGAAAATATTCTATGATATTGGTTTCTCAGATTGCAGACATATTTTTGCTATGCGGAAACAAATCATGAGAAAAGAAATTGTAGTTTTATATGTGACGGTTACAAACGGTAATTGATGCTATAAATAATAAATCTCTATAATAGAAAAGTTATTGACACCACCAGGATTTTTCTTATGGCTCTGGGGAGTTTAAATTAAAACATACACTTGCTGATTAAGTATAAAACTCTCTGAAACGATTCAGTCAAGCCTATCGAAGAAACTAACTCTATCTTCGTAACACACACAAACAAACCCATACAACGAAAACACACACACAACACACACACACACACATATATATATATATATATATATAATGTTGCGAAAACTCTTCTATGAATTGAGCACTCTGAGTCACTGGCGTGTTTATTCTAAAATAAAGACGTAAAAATTCACCTTCCTCTCTGCCGGGAGCTGATAGCCTATAAGAAGAATATATATATATATTCGTCTCTCTTCTCGCTCCATTAAAAAATAATCCTAAAATGCTAAGAAAATTAGTTTTAAGCTGTACCACCGAAGTCCCATTCTATGATCACAGAAATAACATATGTGCAACGAGACGACATTTATATGGGTTCTGTTTTGAGTCCAACCATCGGCAGCTTCTACACCGCCAAACTAGAAAATAATATATTTATCCCCACCTAGAAACCCTCCATCTACCTAAGATATGTAGATGGTATTCTTATTTTAGTTAAAAACATAGAAGAAATACTTGAACTCCAAAAAAAAAAACCAAAAAAAAACCCCCAAAACTCTGTCTTCAAGTTCACTTACGAACTCAACAAAGATAACAAAATCCCTTTCCTTGACATTTTAATAGATACAAATAACAACACATTTACAACGTCTTCATAAAAAAAACAACTCTTGCACTCTTAACTATAAGAGTGATTGTCCTAATTACTACAAAATGGCATTTTGAATTTAATTAATGGAGCACAAATTAATTCAACCACAAAAAAGATTTTCTACACTGAACTAAACATTATTAAGCAGACTCTCATTAATAATGACTTCACAAACCACATTGTAGATGAACAAATAAGATGATTTATCAAAAAACCTCAACACACGTCAAATAGAATATGGTACTTCCTCAAAGCAAGTGCAAATAATATGTACTAAACTTTCCTTTCCTTTCATTTCTGGTGCAACTCGATAATTAGAACCGAACAGCCAGATTATCCGTGCATAAGATTTAATTAGAGTTGTCATGGCTGGTGCAGAAACACCCAAGTGTTCATGAGTACCGAATACAGTCAACTGGTCGCATAAAGTGCTAGGTTTCGAAACAACGCTCCTCGGGTTTTAAATTTACATTCTCCTTGACTGGTAGCCAATCAAAGCTCAGGCAGCCATGTTATGTATCCATAGAGAAGAGATGGTTTAACACGTTTCTCAAGTAAGTGAATGTAATAAACTCAAGAGAAATTCGATCCCGTCTACTCGATTTCTCATTCTGAGCTGCTAACCCCCGTGTATATATTATGGATACCCTATTTAGCGCGTTTGGATCTTTCTTCCGCTTTTTTGATTTATAATCAACTTTGATCTTCAAACATATAGATGATAGTGAATCGTAATGCTCTCTCTCTCTTTTTGACAGAGTTTTTTTTTTCATATTCTTTCACACCCAATGCTCATTGCGTCTAAGTGGCTTTATTCCCTTACTTGGGCTGAAATGCTTAAAAAATCACGCTTTTCTTTATGATACTGGACGTAAATATTGTGTTGAGATTCAGAGAGTAGCTAATATTTAGCATAATTTTGTCTCTCACTTTTAATAGAAACTGCATAAAAGCTACAGAAGGCTGGATCAACTAAACTACGATTAACATCGAGATACGTCAGATATAATATTAAAATTTAAAGTCTGAGCGTCTAAGCATCTTCAGTGGTCCGATATAAACTCAAAACGACGTTCATAGTATTTTTTAGCGGAGCTATATGATGACAGTCATATGAGAAATTCTAACATCGTTTTACTGTAACTTATATATATATATATATATATATGTGTGATCCTGAAAAAAATATTTCGGTTGAGCTCTCGGTGGAGAGAGTGGAAATTTGTAAAAACTTACTGTTGCTGCTAGTAATGCAATATTCTTCGATAAAACGAATCGAGTTCTCTTTATCACTGTGGTGTTTATCTAAAAATAAAAACACGCTTAAATTCATCTTCATCCCCGCCGTGCGCCAACGGCTTAGGTGTAGATTCTCCGACTGACGCCAATTCATCAGGGTTTCAATCCTAGCTAGAGGCAACCAGACGTAGATGAGCTGTGATACAATGAAACATTCTGTATGTGGATGACAATATATATATATATATATTACTTAAGATTATCGCACAAAATTTCATAACTGCATCAATAAGCTGTCAGATCCTCATACGTCGAAACCGACGGAGGAGTCCATTATTATTATATATTGAAGCAGTTTGATTAAATAATTTGGGTCTATTATATCTGTTTATTTTAG